CACCTCCTCTGAGGTGTCATCCTGAATGGGCGGGCTCTCTCTCTCACCTGCCCAAGTGCTGGAGTTGGAGCTCTCCTCAAGTGGACACTTCTGCTTCCTGCTGTAGTCAGGTGCAGTGTCGGTGTTCACATGCATGCACACGTGTGTGTGTGTGCGCGCGTGTGCACGTGTAGTGGCCATCTTGTCTTACTCATCTACCTCCGCACAGTGCCTGGCATGTGGTAGCCATTCAGTGATGATCTCTGTGGAGTGAATGGAGGCTTGTTTACGTAGACTTGCTAGATTCTACCTTTTTAACTGACAAACTCTATTTAGAATTTCAGTTCAGCTCACATGTTTTTAGTCTCCATCTGGGTGAGTGAAGTAAAAACTACTTTTAGGGTAAATAACATGTGCCCAATTTTAAATGCCTGGTCCAACCCCTTCACTCGTTTCTGTTTCCTCCGCCCTCTGCCATCTCTGTTCCGCTCCCTCCAAGCACCTGTCACCTCTGCCTTCTCCTACATACACAAGCTCGAGGACATGCACACTGACTCAGCAGCCCTCCTCCCTGCCTCCAAGCAGCATGGCCTCCCTCCCATCTGTGCATGACACAATCTCAGGATGGGACTGCCTTGAAGGAGCCCTCGCCATCTGCCCCCAGGACGTACCACTGTGCCGTGGCCAGCCCAGCCCTCTCCCACTGACCCCTGCTCTGATCTCCAGCTGAACCATAATCATGGCCAACAGAGGGGCAAGAGGAAGAGGAGGTCGGTTGAGTCAATGGTCAGCAGAGAGGAACAAGGGTCAGGACATGAGTAAAACCTCTTTATCCATCCCCAAGTCACTACGAACTTCCAGAAGCAGGAACCTCAACTTGAATGCATCTTGGATTGTTGGGGTGTCAAGACTGGGATTCTGTCATGGTCCAAACCTTCTTTAGCCAGGTTGGGGCCCAGTGCAGTGATGGGATGCTCAAGACCCAGCCACCCCCATCCATCACTTCTCATTGCTGCCCCTATACCTCCCTGTAACACCACCCCTACGTGCACCCAAACCCAGTATCACTGGCTGGAAGTCCAGATCCCCAAGCGTGGTTGTGCTGTGACTCAAGTAAGCATTGGTATCACCCAAGGAAGAACGTCTTTTGGTCAAGTGCTGGGCATTGATGCATGAACTTAGCTGCTCCGAGACCATCTTACTTCCTCCTGGATCTTGGCCAGATTTGGGGAGCTAGTTCTTACGCTTTGTTGCAGAATCAAGTCTCAATCTTCTGACTCCTGGGCTAGGGCTCTTTCCCCCTGGGCCTCTCTGCCATCTTCCAGGCTGTCTGGGTTGGGTTTCTCCCCTGGTGGTGGTCTCAAGGTGAAGTTAACCTGTGAAGTTAACCTCTGAACATGGCCAAGAAGCTCACTTACATTTCTCTTGGTTTTAGGAACCAGGCCATTTAGGGAGCCAGTTATGGCCATCTCTGCCTGGACCAAGGTGGAAATGCCCCTCCTTGGTTTAGCAGGACCAGGTCGTGTCCTTGCACCTCTCCCTAGTGTTTCCGGACCCCCACAGGGAGCGCAGTAGGTAGGACATCCGTGAAGACGGGACAACACTGGCTGCTGCTGGCCAACTGGAGCTCCTTGCTGACACCTTCCCAAGAGCAATACTGATATCTAACACTTACTGAGCGCTTACTGTATGCTAGACACTAAGTACTTGACACATATTAACGTATTTAATCCTCACAACAGCCCTATGAAATGGACACCATTGTGCTCATTTTATAGACAAGGAAACTGAGGCATAGAGAGATTAGTAGCTTGCCCACGGTCACACAGCTACAAAGTGGTGGAGCTGCCGTTTGCTGAGCTGTGACATCTGCCCCAGCTCTTCTGCTACGTCACCCAAGTGCTGTGCGTGGAAAAGGCCAGGTATGGGGTGGGGAAGTGCAAAGGCAGGGCCATCTTCTGCCCTAGGTAAAGCCAGCAAGTCCCAGAAAGGCTCTGGGAGGGGGCTCAGGCAGCACACGGGCAACAGAGTGCTTTGGGATCAGCTTCAGGGGACAGGAGTGGAGTAGACCAAGTCCACGTCTCAGGAGGGCCACCTGGACAGCCACCCTCTCCCCTCACCAGGCTCAGGTTCTGGAATGCTCCAGTCTGAGGGCAGGGCCAGCCAAAGAGGCTTTCATTGGTGGCTGGGACCCCTGCCCAGACCCCCTGCCTCCACTCCTTCCTGGTTCCCTATAGGTCACCTCCTGCTTGGTCTTCTGAGCTTCCGCTCCCCCCACGGTCCAGGAGCACTAGGGTCTCACAGCCAGCAGCTGGCTGTAGCGATCTCTCCCCTCCTCTCCTGCCAAGAGAAATCCTGCCGTCTTCCCACCCCCACATTAGAAAGAGGGAAGCCTGATGGCCTCCAGGCTGCCCGTTTCCACGGGCGCTCCAAAACCCCTTCATTGCTTTGTTGGTTATCTTCCCTCGAAAGCCCATAAGCCGTATCTCCCGTGACCTGGACATGTTACGGTTGATTTTTTTTAGACCTAAACCCAAGATTTAATATGTATTAAGGAGAAATGCAATGTGGATTTAGGCCCAGAGTTTTTGCCTGTTTGTATTTTCTGGAACCCTGAATCCGATGTCCATTCACCCCCTTGTATAGTGATGATAGATTTAGGAGTTTCACTTCAGTCCCTCAGTGGCCTCACGGGGGACAGCACAGGATACCACTGTGATAAATAACTACCAACCCCAGCCCTAGTTTTCCAGGCCATACTAACGCCCTGAGTCAGAAGTTAAGTCCACACGACATCATCAGAGCTGCCTCCAGCGCCCTGGAGAAGGGCGGGAGGGACAGGAAGGGCGGTGGAGAAGACGGGAGGCAGCAGGAGAACAAGGCCCTGGGCGGAGGTCGATGCAGCAGGCATTGCCCATGAGTTTAAGGGGGCTTCTCAAGAGCCCTGTTGCAAACAAGGTAGCAGGTGTGAGCCTGACAAACCTGGAGGTTCCAGAAGATGTGAGAGAGCATCTCTGTAAATGGGGTCCTCAGACCCTACAAGGTTGGAATGTACTGGCTTCAAAGCGAAAATGAGGCAGGCTCCTTGGGGGAGTCTTCAGAACTTTTGTGACTCTCCCAGAGAAGGGCAGGGCCGGCTTTCCCAAGATGATCTGACCACGGAGCCCGTTTTCAGGGGAACACCCTCTGGGAATGCTGATTTCATGGACAGCTGTGTGGACTACGAGATGGCAGCAGTGGGCGGTGGTCCAGGTGCCACCACAAACCAGCTGGGCATCCTTGGGCAAGTCACAGCTCTGCTTAAGCCTCAGTTTCCCCCATGAAATGAATCTCTTAACACCAGGCCTAGCTTCTTCAGGGACCTATGGTGAGAAAGGATGTGAAAATATCAATCCTTTGCACAAAGCATGATCCTCCATGGAAGGATGTGGTGGTTTGTACCTTGTTTCTGGAAGAAGGCATAGTGGCTGGACTTGGCCACCCTACACTAAGTGCATTTGGGTTTCTTTACTTATTTTGTAAGCTCTTTCTGCTGCAAGAGAAAAAGGGGCCATTTCTAGATTTGATATCAGTGTGTTGTCTCTGAGCAGGCTTGTGGCCTGATAATCCCACCCATGAACCTACCGATAATGACCTCACAGACCCTCTCCACCCTACACTAATTCAGAAAGGCCTTCACCTCATAAGCATCAAACGAGTCACCAAATACCAGTCCTTCGCATTGTGGGTTTGGGGAGGTTCTGGGAACACTCAATAAAGGGGAAGCAATCGGTCCCCAGACTTCGGACAATGACCATAAATGTTCAGTTAGAGAACAGACAACAAGGGCTAGTTCAGAATCAGCCTGTGGCCACTGGGGACACAGGAGATGCCTCAGCTACGGCCCCATGAGGATCAGGTCCACCAGGAGACAGCAGTATTGCAGCATGGAATTGGGCTACGTATAATGTACTTCAAGGCCAGGAGGGCTGAAGCCACCCAGGCCTAGTGCTAGAGGCCAAAGCTCTCCTGGAAGACTCGAAGTAGCAGGTAGGATTTAAGCCCAGCCATAAAGTGATATTGTGAATTCAGAACCTCAGCAAGTGTGCAAGGGTCTGCTCAAAGCCTCCCTCACAGAATTTCCTGGCCTCCTTTCTGCATAGGGGAATGGCTTTTGGGTTAAGTGGCCTCTGGCCATCTGACTTGGTGTGAAATGTTCATTCACCACCATTATCACCGTCACCACCTTCAGTCCCATCATCATCATCACCACCATTATCACACACCACCACAGTCACCACCTCCAGGTTCATCACCAGCACCATTACCACTCTACTGCTATTACCATCATCACCACCCATACCACCACTACCACTACTTCCACCACCATTGCCATGACCACCACCAACCCTACCGTCACCACCATCATCACAACCACTGTGACCACACCCACCAACATCACTATCATTATCACTACCACCATTGCTACCATCACCACCTCTACCACCACCACCTTATTATCATCTCCACGACCATCACCGCAACGATTTCCACCAGCATCACCATTATCACATCCCCTTCATCACATTTTCCGTTTGCCTTGACCACACTGAAGCCAGAATGCAAAATGCAGCCACTAACATCTCTCCTAACTGCCTGTGCCCCCCAAATAATCATTTTCATGTCTTCACCTATAATCAAAGCGCTCAATGGAAGCCCTAACACTAGGTTGCCCGTACATTCTGATTCTCCCAGAACAGTCCCAATGTATGCCTGTTGTCCCTGCTTCATTATCAATAGCTCCCCCCTTCACTCTTAACTACACCCTGACTTGCATGACAAATTATATGGTCACCCTAGTTAAGAGCACATCCAGCTTCTGACTGACCCCACAAGGACCAGCAGCCCAGGGATGCTAACCCGAAACAGAGTCTGGTGGACTTCCTGCTGGGAGTCTCTCACAGCTGCTAACTGGGAGGCAAGATATCCCCTACAGTCACTGATAACTAATGGATGTCCCCTCCTCCTCTACCCACTTCCAGGAAACCACTGAGAAAGGACGAAAACGGCACGAGTGTCACTGAGTACCCCATGGCCTCCTCCCAGAGCAACAAAGGGGTGGACGTGAACAACGCAGTGGTGTGAGTCTACAGCCCTGGACCCACTGGCCAGAGGGACACCTTGGTGGCATGATGGACGTGAAAGCAGGGAGACATGAGCAGACCCTGGGTTCGTCCAGGACTTCACAGCCTGGCAGGCCTCGCACCTCCCGAAGAGGAAACCGTCCACTTCCCAGCCCTGCCCCGTCAGCCCTCTGGCCTGGGCGGCGCAGACCCAGGCCTGAGCCAGGGCCCTGCCTGCAGCCCGCGGCGGTGTCCCCACCCGTGGCCCTTCCACAGCCTCTTCCCTGTCTTGTGTGTGATCCGCTGACCATCCCCCGTGCTGTCTAAAGCACAGGCTCGGACAGGAGGGCAGGGGGACTCTGTCTGTCTGTCTGTCTGCTGGGACAGGGAGACATCTCCTTTAGCCAAAAGAAAGGCAGCCCAGGGTCCACCTCCAGCTGAGACCTTCCCCTCTCCCAGGAAGCCCACCTGCTTCTCCGTTGACCCTGCAGTTCCCATCAGAAGCCACTGGCAGAGCCCTGAGACCCCCTTCAAAGGTGCTTCCACACATCTACCATCGCCTTCACCTGCCCGTCCCTGTCTGTGTCTGTCCTCTGTGCCTGCCTACCCCTCCGCTCTTACCAACACCCAGGCCAGGCCTGCCTGCCCACCCCTGAGGGCTGTCAGCCCCCCGACCAACCCTCTCTTGAGCAGCAAAGCTCGTTTACACTCGGGGTGATGTCTGGCCTTCTGGGGCAACAATGACTCCCTGAGCCCTAGACCCAGGGCCACCAGGAAGGACGGAGACACATTCCCAGACCCACGTGGTGGGAACTGACGCATCTGTGTGAGCCAGGCCCTGCCTTTGCCCAGCAGAGGCCACAAATGTGCCAACCCCCCGCAGGTGGCACTCAGGCCCTCCTGATAGCCCCCGGCCCCCGCCGCATCCAGAAGGAGGGGCTGTTTCCCAGTGTCTCCCTATAAAAGTCTCTCCGTGGTCTTACGTTCTGGAATCGCTGAACATTCTGGACTGGGTGGGGGATGGAAAGCAGAAAAGTGGGGGGAGGGAAGAGAGGAACCCCCCCAGGCTTGGTAACCCCACCTGGCTGGCCTGGTCCCCAGGGCCTGCCTGCCCCAAGGGGCACATCGCTAGGCCCACGGAGCCAATGGCCTCATGATTTCGTGTCCCCTCATGCATTGAGAGAACACTTGTGACCCCGTGGGTCCCCTCCCCCTCCCCCCCCACTTGCCCAGAAGGAATTGGACACATTTAATGGGGCCACTCTGGCCACGTAAGGACTCACCTGGGTGGACCCATTTGCCTCCCAGACACCCTCTCCAATGCAGGTGAGGTTGGCACTCTCTCCAGTCCGGGTGAGGATGACACCCTCTCCAATCCGGGTGAGGTTGACAAACCTGAAAGCCAGTCTCCACATGGGACGAACCTCTAAAGGCCCATTGTCCCAGAGTCTTGTGCCTGCGCAGGTGTCTGGGTGTCATCATCAAGGTGAGCTGGCCGTGACCCTAACCCACAGCCCGCCTGGGGCCAGTGGTGCAGGCTGAGGCCCGCCAGGGCACACCCTCCCGTAAGGGATTTTCCTTTTCTGTTTTCCACCTGCTTGAGGACTTGAGGACTTGGGTTTGGATTCGAATTCTGCTTTTCTGTGCCACCAACAGCCTCCATCCTCACTCCCCACCTGGCGAGCACTTCACAACAAGCATCCTTGGTGGATGCCCTCGGTAGCCCCGAGATGCAGAGCTCGATGACAAGGGCCTAAGGGATGTGGGTTAGTGGCAGGGCAGGGCTGAGAGGCCCAGCAGACCCCACTCCCCCCATTGCTTACAGCCCCTGGGTGCCTGCTGACCCCACTGCCTGTGCCCTGAACGGACGCCTAGGTGGGACCCCAGTACTGAGCACACGCCCCCCTGGGCTTAACTGATGGGAAAATGCCTGTGGCCTTGAGCCAGTTGGAAACTCAGGAGTGGTCAGAGAGAACAGCATCAGCCAGAGGGGAGGGTCCTGGCTGAGCGCTCACAGAGTGCCGGGGCAGTCGGTCCCAGAGGGACATGGGCATGGCACAACCCAGCTCTTCACAAGCCCACCCAGTCCCACCATCCCCAGCCTTTGGCTGCAACCCAGGAGGGCTAGATTCTGCAATTAGCCTAATCCTCCCTGCGTGGTGCAAATGGTTAACCTGCTCCGCTGCTAGCCTAGAAGGTTGAAGGCCCAAGTCTACCCAGAGACACCTCGGAAGAAAAGCCTGATGATCTACTTCCCAAAACTCAGCCATTGAAAACCCTGTGGAGCACAGTTCTACTCTGACACACATGGGGTCGCCAGGAGTCCAAATTGACTTGACAGCAACTGGCCTAATCTTCCGGCCCCAGGCAGGAACTCCTGTGAGTGTCCCTCATGCTGTGGGACCCAGATCCTCTTTCTGGCACCATGACGCAGCCAGGAAGGACTCCATGAAAGGCTAACATTTGCGTGGAAATGCCCGCTAAATTGGGTTTGTAAAATCCCTTCTCACCTGTTAGTGTAAACCACAGGAAGAAGCCAGTTTTGCAAAAAGGAATGACTTGAGAACAATCCCCCCAAACCCAGAACCAGCCATTCAGAAGAGACATTTCACAGTGCAGCGTGAGGATCCCACCAGGTTTTTAGCTTAGAGCCTGACGCTGACGTAAATCCCCGCCTGCCTAGTGCCTGAGCTTAGAAACATAGCTGTGGCCCCCAAACAGACCAGTCCTCCAGTGAGCCCCAGCAGGGCGGTCCAGAGTGGAAGGTTCATGCCTCCTCCACGTTTTATCAAATAGGTTATTTCTCAATCTGCGGTCTCACAGATGAGGCCAACTTTAGAATTTAATGGCATCTAGGATCTCCCAAAGGAGCCCTGGTGGCATAGTGGTTAAAGCGCTCGGCTGCTAACCGAACCCACCAGCTGCTCGGCGGGAGGAAGATGTGACAGTCTGCTTCTGTAAAGATTTGCAGCCTCGGAAACCTTATGGGGCAGTTCTACTCTGTCCTGTACGGTCACTATGAGTTGGAATGGACTCGACAGCGACAGATTTGCTTTGGTTTTGGATTAGGTTCCCCCAGAGTCTTTAGGTGTTCTTTAGAAGCGTCTAAAGCAAGTCTAGGAGGAAAGACTAATAGGTGTAAAAATATAGACATATATATTATATATAGTTATATATATTTAAAGAGATATTATATATATATATATAATTACTGTTGTCCCTGTATCTGTACAAAGTATGGTTTAAACCACCCAGCTAGCGTGAGATTATCTAATGCATGAATGTAAATATCCCAAAACCTGCCTTCTTAACAACGAGCCCAAGATACAGGGGAAGCGGAGTTGTTCCTGGGAATTCGGTCTCGATGGACAGACGTGCAGTGGAGGCTGGCTTGTCCCCCAGTGAGCCCTTCATGGGGACTTGGTGCTGAGCTGCCACATGGAAAGCAGGGCCGGCAGTATCGGGGGTGTGCTGTGTGCTACATACGAGGAGGAAAGCACCGTGACTTTTTTATTTTCAATAAAAATATAAAGACGGCTGTGCGTTGTGTGTGGCAGACGTTGGTCCCAGGCGCGGGGTGGGAGGGAGAGAGCAGAGTGAAGTAGTGGGGGACCTGGGGAGCCTTCCCTGAAGTCCTGCTGTAAACCAGGGGCCAGGCTTGGGGACTTGCTTATGCTATTTCTGTAGTACTTTCTCCTGGCACCACCAAAAGTCGGTATTCGTGGGGATTTCTAAGGTACCAGTCCTGCCTCCCACTCCCTCACCCACCCCCTTGGTCCTTGAAGCAATCGGGAATAGATTGACCAAGATCCCTATTTGCTGGGACTGAGGGGGGGTCTCCCAGGACACAGGATGTGCCGTGCTAAAACCAGGAACGTCCCGGGCAAACCGGGATGAGTCGGTCACCCGATTTGACAAGTGCTCCTGGGAGGCAGCAGGGCAGGAATCAGCTGGTGGTGCCCGGAGAGGCTGGGGCATGGGCCTTTGGCTGTTGTCAGGCCCCCTGCTATGTCCACCCCACTTCTAGACCTCAGAAGCCCAAGGGGCAGGGTGGTCTGCAGCGGCCCCTCACCACCAGCCACATGGAGAATCACGGCCTGCCTGCACCCCAACCAGAGAGGCCCCAGGAGCCAGGGTCCCAGCAAGGCGTCTTCTCCGTGGCCCGAGGGAGCTTCACTGCCTGCCTGGGCTCTGTCCTCCTCCTCCCAGCTTCTCTGTGAGGCTCCCGGCACTTGTGAGGGGCATGTAAGAAGAAACTCTGCAGCGTTTTCGTTCCCGCCTTATGAGTGAGGAGACAGTTCAGGGATGGAGTGTGACAGTCAAGAGCCCCCAGATGTCAGGAAACGGGCAGGCCTGTGGTTTGAATCTAGACCTGGGTGCCTGCAGCACCCAACCCCTGGACACAATGAGGGGGACCCTCGGCCCAGACATTGTCACCCCTTCGTCGGGGCATCACTGGGCCCCCGCTCCAGCCTGGGTTTCCCATGGCTCCAGAGTTAGCTCAAGTGGGGGGAGAATGGGGGGCCTTTGTGCCCAGGGCTGAGGGGGCAGGTATTTCCCCAACCTGACCCACAGCCTGGGGGACCATCAGCCCAGTGCAGGGGCTCCAGGGGGAAGGCCTGGGTCCCAGGCGTCTGGGGTCAGGGAAGTGCAGGGGAAGCGTGGAAGTGTCCACTGTGAGCTGGGCAGCACTCATTCCGGATGGCCCCTCTGACCCGGGGTTCTGTGAGCCGCCCAGTGCCGAGAACTCTCAGGGGACCTGGCATCCAGCAGGCACATGTGGGCACAGCCATCCTTACTGCCATCATCACTGCAGTCGTTCACAGAAGTGGCTGTGACTCTGCCGACGGCCACCTAGCAGGTCCTTCCTTGGACATTGCTGGCCTGTACACGTGTCTGTGTGCCCAGCGTGGGCGTCTGTCCACACAGCCACAAACCTGGGGCCAGCAGAGGACAGCCAGCAGGCCAAGCCTGCATGTGAGGCCTGCAGGGCCCTGGGAGCGAGGCAGAGCCAGCCTGGCA